TTTTCACTTCCATTTACCCAGTCGAAACCATGCTTTCGGCCCATTAGAAAACCCGGTGAGTTGTCTACTCGACGGTTACACTCATCCTAGAGGATTAGTCGGGTGGTAAAAATCCGGACACCCCCAGTATTAAAAAAAAAACAATAACGACGAATGATATTTGATATTGTTAGTTAGCAGCATCGTTAAAATAATGAAATAAAATCATGTACTAGTTTTTATTGGTCGTTCATCGCATATTTCGGAAATTAGTAACCAAAGTTTTTTTTAAAAATATTTTATTTTATTATTGAAATTGATTTGAAATAAATTATATCATTTCAGAAGTTCAACATATAAAATACAAAGGGAACTAATAGTCATTTTCGCACTGGAAATTAAGTGAGAATAATCATCGTTAACGACCAAGATGATCTTATTTCAAATAGAAGGTAGATATTAATTAGGTGTTTCCAATCCACAATAGCAACCGAATTTCTAAAATCTATTACGATGGCATGATAACAATCTTAATTTAGATAAATCTCTTTCTTTAATTGCTTTTGTCAATTTTGTTCCGAGTTAACTTCAGTGAAACCCGCCGTTGAACAAGTTTGAACAACAAAACTTAAATCAAATAGATAGCTAAAATTGACTGAAAACTAAACATAGATCTAATCAAGGAAATCACAATAACTCATAAAATCCAGCCAGCGAATAACATCGCATCGTCTTCTAACCAAAAACTTAGAAACTAATAGTTTACAACTCTCTTCCTCTCTCGATACCAGCAAAAACACCGAATATCAAAAACGGAATAAACTCAAATCACTTTTTGTTTTTTGTTTTAATCTGTGCTTGTCTCTGACAGTTAGGGTGGTGACCAAAGTTTAATAACATTACAAAACCTCATCGAGAAACAAGAAATTTGCCTCCACGACAGTTGAAAGGAGAAATGGTATTATTAGGCCCAATTTCAGGCCCATACTGAGCATCACATATGGAAAATGGTATTATTCGTCTCTCCAAAACCGGAATTATCTATTTACGGTACATGCACTGTCTCTTTCCGCAACTACACGCACATTCATATTTCACGTACTTTTTATTTAGGGCGGCTAATTGCTCTAAAATAAATAATGTTTTTATAACTCCTAAACCATAATCCGAACTAATTTGTAAAACGTGTAAAATAATGTGTACTTTTCTACTTCAAACATTGACAATAACCGATCATGATAAAAATCACAGTGGTTTGATAAATGAGAAATTTTAAAAAATGTTACTTTTTAAGTTCCACTTTACAAAAATGCCATATTTTTGAAATCTTTTTAAAATGTCACTTTTTCAAAATTATTTTTTTCTTTATATTATTTATGTTTGGGTTAATTATGTTCTATTAGGATTCAGTTTTGAGTGTTTAGGGGGTTTTAGGTGTCAAAATATTT